AAAAGGGCCCCCCGCCCCCCCCCCCCCCCCCCCCCCCCCCCATCTTGCCTATTGCTATTACTCTACTCTACTCCCAACAGCCATCCACGAGCGCCAGGGCCCTTTTGCATGTGCTGCTGCGGGACCTACCTCTGCCCTCTGCCCCCGCCAATTCTCCTCCTCCCCCTGTCTCCCGTACTCCCAGCGTCTAGAGTAGTAGCCAATATCCACCAGTACCGCGGCGATTAAACCTTGTTGCCAGCTCGCCGCGCCCCCAAGGTGTGCCAGGGTCTCCACCACTACCATCCGGACTGGCGCTAATCAACTGTGCAGCATCACCACCACCTCGAATATTGCTTCCTACAGAGGCGTTGAATCCACTCTCGCCTGGCTTGGCCCCCCTGGTCCGCATCTCTCAGCCTTCTTCACTGACTGCGCTGTCTGCCGCCCCAGGAGTCTCTCCCGTCACTTGCTCATATCCGGTGGCCTCGGTCGCCGTTGAACTAATAGAGAAGGAGCTGCGGGTCGTTCTTTCACTCTAGCCGTCTCTGCTCCCGATTGTTACCCCAAGCTTTGACTTCTCGGCCACTCACCCATCGGTTGGCTGAGAGCGCTCCATCAAGCGACACGGAACACCGCCCGACCACTGCGCATCCAGCTTGTGTAGGTCTACGCCTTGGGTTGTTTCTTCTACTGCCAATCTTTCCGCTCTACCTGTACGGGTTCCCCACTCTGGACTAAGGGCCCGTTGATCGACTCATCCATCCACGCTCCCATCACATTGCGCATCTCGCCGCCTCACGCTCGGCTACATTATGTGTTGCTGACAGCCACTCTCATTGGCTGCCTGCTTCTGTGTGGTGCCACGAGTTGGTCAATCGTTGAGACCTCTCGAGTGCTTGCCGTCATCGGCTGCTGCCGTAACTACTGACTGCTCTACAGCCACAGCATCCTGTCTACGGGCCCTCATCACTCACCAAAGTCTGGACCGGAGGATCCGAACTGCTCCCCCGCTTCTGTGCTGCTAACCATGCACAAGTCTTCCACAGGCTCAAACGGAGCATATCCAACAACAATGGCACCTGTGCCGAATCCCTTTGCCCTGGCGCAATCAACTCCTCGCCTGACGACTCTTCTTGCTGCACCGAATATCCCTCAGCCAGGCTCCAGATCACCACACTATCCTTCGAGCTCTTACAGCCATTCTGCCTCACCAAGTGCTGCCTCTGCAGGCCTACCGGACATTCAACGCCACGATAGCAGTGCCTTGGTCATCTCTCCCACCCAGATACCCTCTGCCAACTTGACTGCGCAGAAGAGAGCCTACAGACAGCGAAGAAAAGACCCTTCATGCGATGCATGTCGAGAACGCAAAGTAAAGGTGAGTTTGTAAATCGCAACAGGGGCTGCGACACGTACCTTGACCCACATGTACCTGGAGGAATGCGAGCAAGACAGCAGCTGGTTGGAGAGAAGGGGAAGACTTGTGACTCATGTCGTAATTGGCTGTACACTTGTCCAAAATTGTCCACTGTCCATCTTCGCACGTTGAGCAGGCATGCCCCTAAAGGCATCTACAGCCCCTAATCAGCGAAGGTACATTATTGTACGCATGGCTTGAGCAGGTGGACTGGGGCCTTTGTCGAAACTGGCTGACCGTCTTTACAGTGCGATGCTACCGAGACCTCAGCATGTTCAGAATGTTCGAGCCGAAATCATCGGTGTCAGTTCACCAAGGAGACGAATCGCCGCATGTCGTCAATCAAGTAAGCAGTCGTCATGTTTTGCAAAGTCTGTGGTAGAAATGCTCATTATGCACAGACAGGTCCAGGACCTTCAGAGTCAAATTGCTGAGTTGACTCATGTAAATTCCCAGCTACGGAACAAGGCATCTGACCAGGGTCCTTTGGATGGAGAGCGAACAGACATGAAACGCAGACACTCCGAAGTGGTGCACACCGGAGTGGTACTAGGACCACGACAGATATGTGTACCAGTCCTGGACAACTTCAACCACGTTCGCAGTAACATTCGACAGCATGCTCACGACATATTCAATATGCCTCACCAAAACGTCTCGCGGACTGCGGAGCCCAATTGGCAGCTGCCTGCGGTACCTTTGCGCGCAGACTATGCATACTTTTCTCGCTCCTTCCTCGATACGGTACACGACTGGTACCCTGCAATACATTGGCCTACTTTTCAGCACAAAGCAGACGAGGTTTATGCCACACGCAGCTTTGAAGGTTGCTCCCGGGATTGGATTGGCTTGTTCTTCGCAGTACTGGCTTGTGGCTGTTTGCATCCTAGATCAGAGCACAATGTTTCTTGCAACGTGCTATCAGAAGGCCAGGCTTTGTTTGAGACTGCAGCGTCTGCTCTCCAGCCTTGGACACAAGAGCTTACCATTACACATGCTCAGGCGGCTCTGTTGTTGAGCATATTTGCGACAGAAAGTAACCAGCGCTCTCTCGGCTCCATCTGGCTTGCGTCTGCGGTAAGAATTGCACAAGAACTACAAATAAATCCTGAAATGGATTGCTGGCCCGCTTTTGACGGCGAAATTCGACGCAGACTTTGGTGGTCCATCTACGTCCGTGACAGGTGAGCAAAACCTGTCTGTCTGACATGAACTATTTCAGGAACTGACAGCGACGCAGAATTATGTCACTCGAGACGAATCGTCCAATGTTGATCAACGAGAACGATTGCGAGATTTCACTCCCATCATCAGCCGACGATCGTCACATACAGCCCAATGAGTCATTCCGTCCCTCGACAAAACCTGCCCATTTTACTGGCTTCGTAGCAACAATACACATCACGCGCCTCTACGCGCCCCTACAGCACGCTTTGAAGTCTAGTGTTATGCTGCCACAAACCACGGAAAGCTTCGATGGACAGCTTCGCTCAAAATTGCTACTCCTACCTGAAAACCACCAGCCAGACTCAGGGGCGTTACTCGATGCGAGGGTGTTGCCAACAGTTTTCGTCTTGCTCTCGGCTCGATTTCATCTCTACCGGCGGAACCTCAGCCCATTGTCGAGTGCTATAGGCCGAGCCAATGCATTGGAACGATGCGTCTCTGTTGCCCAGGACACGGCAAAGTATGTGTCAAGAGTATTGCACAACCCTTCAGTCCGTAATTCTGGTCAGACAGGGGCAGAGAGAATGGCATTGGCTGCAAGTAACGCAGTATGTCTACATTTGTGGCGATGCATTCTGATACTATGCTTCCGGGGCGAGTATGATGCAGCCTTGGTGTGCTTGCAGCTCTCCGAAGCTATTGGTAGCACACGCAAGATTAACGCTGCTTGTGGCAAGAATATTGCCTTCTTTCTAGAGCGACTATTCGACCGAATGCGCAACGGTATCGGCAGTGGCAAACAGCTGGAACACGACGAGGAGATGATTGCATACCTCAGTGCTGACATACAAGGCAGTCTGGAGCATTCCTGGGTCTGGGCAGGTACCAGTATGGTTTCTGTGTCGGGTCAGGACTCGGCACCTGGCGCTACGGCATCGCCGGGAGGCGACGAAGCTATGCGAGACGGGCTACCCTCACGAACGCCACCATCCAATGCATTGTCGAATGGAAGCGCGGAGTGGAATGACTGGGGCCGGGTTGAGCACATGGTGCGGCAACTGATGGGCGAGCGCCATCACCGAAATACGCAGCCGGCGGCTTATTATCCACCAGTGCACAATCCTGTCAAACGAGTGCAACTTGCACCCAACACGTATTCACCGCCAAAGAGTCTATCAAGTCCCAACCCAGCACCGTCGAGCACAAGTCGTATCAGCATAGCGAATATCATCTAAGACCAGAAGAGGGGTAATGTAGATCATGTACGAACCGGGTACATTTTCGCCTGCATGCATCCGCTTACTATTGCCCATGTGGTATTGGAGGATCAAGCGAGATGGTTGCAAGCAATTGGCCGTTACAAAAGACGCCTGGCTTTTGCAAGAGAGTACCGCATGCTGCGGGAATTACAGGAGCCCAAACACAGGCCAAGGGTGCAATCTCACAGTACCAATTATACAAACTCGCAATTGCCCAATAATTGGCCTC